TCGGCCCGGAGATCCTGGAGCAGATTTTGATATTACACGATTACCAACTAACTTCGGAATTAAGCAATGAAGCAAGAAGAGAAGGAAGAAAAGGAAGAGAAGAAAGAGAGCTCTATTGTCACTAGACTCTTCCTCGACCACCACCAGGCTTCCACCCGGTAGCATATCGACTCTATAGTTCTGCCCAAATGCCATCTGACGCCATAGTTCTGCCCGGCCGCCGACTGACGTCGGACTTTTTATTTGACGTTGGACCTCTGCTCGTCATCGGATTTCAACCCGACGCTGGATTTCTACCCGACGCAGGACTTCTACTCGACGCCGCACTTCTGCCTGTCGCCGGACTTCTACTCGATGCCGGATTTCTGCCCGTCATCGGACATTCGCTGGACTTCTATTCGACACCGGACTTCTGTCCATCGACATACTCCTACCTAACGTTGGACTTCCGCCCGTCGCCAGATTCTTACTTGACACTGAACTTCTGCCCATGGCCGGATTCCTACCCAATATTGGACTTCTGCCCGTCGTCGGATTCCTGCCCGACGCCGGACTTCCGCCCTTCATCGAATTTCCGTCGAATTTCTACTTGGCGCCGGACTTCTTCCCATTGCAGGACATTCGTCTGGCTTCTATCTGATGATGGACTTCTATCTATCGATGGACTTCTACCCAACGCCTTCCTTCCGACCTCCATCGCCAGACAACAATCTTTATGACCTCCGTCGCTCGCCGACTACGGTCCTTCTGACTTATGTCGCCCATCGACTACAATCCTCTAACCTCCATTGCCAGACAACGATCTTTATGACCTCCGTCGCCCGTCGACTACGATCCTTCTGACGTACGTCGCCCACCAACTATAGTCCTTCCGACCTCCGTAGCTCATTGACTATGGCCCTTTCGACTAAGCAAACATGTAAATAATTATTCTTCCTATTTACACCATGTAACACACTCTATATGATGTATGTTTGTTACATAAAGACATGACATTCCTTTTAATGAAGGGCCTCATTTGTAATCAGCTGCAAATACTAGTGAATTCATTCAAATTGGACCAGGCCCCTTGTTTTTTTTTCCTTTTTAGGATTTTTCACTTAAAAATCTTAGTATCTCTTATAAATAATGCACCCTCTTTTTATCTGATTTCGTGCTAGATCTTCATACAATGCTAAGACATTAAACTTTATATTTCTTTACCACCGCGAATACTCCAGGACGCAGCACCTATATTTATTTTACACTCATTATAGCAATCATTTGTATTTGTTTTACATTGTATTTTTTTTATATGACATTCTTTTTTAAAAATCAAAGAGCCCTTAAGACACTAATTTTTTTTTTCTATAAATGCTTTAGCATATAATAATAAAAATTATATTTTATCTAAGTAAAATTTAAGGCTGAAAACATGATTATATTTTTAATTAGCATGAGTCTTAAAATTTAGATTAATATAAAATTTAATTAATTCCCGTATATTTAACTTCCTTTTTAAAATAAATCAATATATTGAATTTTTTTCCCTTTTAATCTTAATCCTCGTTAGCTGTTCGCACATCCCAAAGTCTATAACCCTTTCCCTCGATACGTCGGCGCCGGCTGCTGCTTTCCTCCATAATCGATGGCTGCGGCAGTCACTTCTTCCTCCGCTCTTCCCTTCGCGTCCTTGCAGCCCAACTCATCAGCTGGCCTAAAAAACACCAGTCCCCTCTCTCCTCCCACTTTTCGCGCCACCCTTCCACGCCGGATCCCTCCTCTCTCTTGTGCTGCCGCCCCGACCTCCATCGAGGAGGACAACGGCCGACGCGGCCGCTATGCTGATGAGAGCATCCGCGAAGAAGCTGCACGTCGTGACCACGCATTACCCTCCAACTTCCACGGCTTCTCCGCTTGGTACGTTCCTTTTGGGCCCTCTCCCGACCCCAACGAGCGCTACTCCCTCGACGATGTTGTCTACAGGAGCAGCTCCGGCGGCCTTCTTGATGTCCGCCACGATTTCGCTGCTCTCGCCAAGTTCCCTGGTTCCTATTGGCGCGATCTCTTCGACTCCCGCGTTGGTCGCACCACCTGGCCCTATGGCTCTGGCGTCTGGTCCAAGAAAGAGTTCGTCCTACCGGAGATCGATGCTGACCATATCGTTTCTCTCTTTGAAGGAAACTCCAATCTTTTCTGGGCCGAGCGTCTCGGTCGTGAACATCTCGGCGGGATGCCCGACCTCTGGGTCAAGCATTGCGGCATCTCGCACACCGGATCTTTTAAGGATCTGGGCATGACCGTCCTTGTATCCCAGGTTAATCGGCTCAGGAGCAAACCCCTCTCCCGGCCGATTGGCGGCGTCGGGTGTGCTTCCACGGGTGACACTTCTGCGGCTCTTTCTGCTTATTGTGCCGCGGCTAATATTCCCGCCATTGTCTTCCTGCCTACCGACCGTATTTCGCTCGCACAACTCGTCCAACCCATCGCCAATGGAGCCACAGTCCTCTCCATTGATACAGACTTTGATGGGTGCATGAGGCTGATCCGTGAGGTAACGGCCGAGCTTCCGATTTACCTTGCGAATTCCCTGAACTCGCTTAGACTCGAAGGTCAGAAGACGGCAGCTATTGAAATCCTGCAACAGTTTGATTGGGAGGTTCCTGACTGGGTAATCGTCCCTGGAGGAAATCTTGGGAATATCTATGCTTTCTACAAGGGATTCAGCATGTGCAAAGAGCTCGGTCTTGTTGACCGAATGCCTCGACTTGTCTGTGCCCAGGCTGCAAATGCCAACCCTTTATACCTCCATTACAAATCAGGATGGAGTGATTTCAAGCCGGTCACTGCTGCTGAAACATTTGCCTCTGCTATCCAGATTGGGGACCCTGTATCCATAGACCGTGCTGTGTATGCTATTCAGAAAACAGATGGAATTGTTGAGGAGGCCACTGAGGAGGAGCTAATGGATGCAATGTCACTTGCTGATCGAACTGGCATGTTTGCTTGCCCACACACTGGTGTTGCCCTTGCCGCTCTATTCAAATTGAGGGAGAGTGGAGTGATTGGAACAAATGATAGAACGGTTGTTGTTAGTACTGCCCATGGCCTCAAATTTACACAATCGAAGGTGGATTACCACGCCAATGAGATTGCAGATATGGTTTGCAGGTTTGCAAACCCTCCTGTGAAAGTGAAGGCAGATTTTGGGTCTGTGATGGATGTTTTGAGGAAGAAGCTAGTCGTTAAGAAGTAGCTTTCAAGAACCTTGTAAGACTTTTGACCTTTAAGGCATGTGTTTCAGTTATTTATGTACTTTCTGGTTTTTTACAATTTCATTAGTAAATTAATGTTGCATTGTCTTTTTGTCCTGGTTATTTTAGCTTGCAGATTTCATAAGGATATCAGCTTTGGCATATTTAGGATTGATGTCTTAGGAGACTTATTTGCCTTATTTTTATGCATTTTTCTAATAAAAAGCTTATTTCTCACATTTTCATGTTTTGATGAAGTTTTGTGTTCGTAATGCTCCCTTATTAGAAAATGATCTATGCTGAGAGAATGTCATATGAGTTGATTGCTGCTAATGACCATATGCATGCACAATGTGCTTTATTCTTTGAGCTTTTAGAGGAAATCATGATTCTTTTTAAGTAGTGCATGCACATCATTCTACCTTTTTGTAGGTAAGGGAATTTATATAACAATTCATTTTATATTCTTGAGGTAGGCTAATTCTTTGATGTTGCTAATTGCTGTCATAAATAGTAATTGTCATGCTTTCCTATTTTCTAGTCCATACATGTGAATTTCCTTAGCATACTTGAGTTGTAAAATCCATTCCTTTTTTTATTTAATTTGAAGTTCAAGCATGAAGGATAATTCATCTATCAAGCTCATGGAGAATTCATCTTGCTTATACTTGAAAAGCCACTTGCATATATCTTCTTACTAGCACCAAATATCACTGCTAGAAGGAAGAGAATCGGAAAAGAATAGGTGGATTTGGTTGTAACTATTTTGTACATATTTCAAATATAGTGTAAATTAAATACTGACGTAGAATAGCAAGCAAAAAATGTTATTGTCCCAATGCTAGAGGAAGATTAATGGCTCAAGATGAGAGCAAGGGCAATGATGGATCCATCACAAGTGCAAGAACAATTGGCCAATGGGGATTCATCCAACATGAGAAATTGAAGATATCCATAGTGGGTAAAATTTGAAATTATATGCATGATTAAAATTAAAAAATTCAAATAATAAATTTAATAATTTAATCCTTTTCCTCCATTTGGGAGGTTTTTATTTATTAAATTTTTCTTGCTTTATTTTGCTTTAGCCTTATTTGAAAGTACATGGGACAATGGAGTGGCCTCACTCCCCTTCATTTCTTTATTTTGAAAATTTTCTTCTTCCTTAGTTTCTATTTTTATGAACCGATATAATACTTTAAATATTTGCTTTGACGAATGAAAATTAGCTTTTGATGATTGAAAAATGCTTGTTAGATTTAAATTTTTAGGATTGTGTGCTTGATGGTCGACCTCCCGTGGCCAAGCTCTTTAAATTTTTTTGGTGGAGACATACTTATCCCTCTTATTTCGTGCCGATCTCTCTCCCATCATTTCCTACCTGTTCCCTAACATTCTTGGTCTCTTTCTATAAGTTTTTCCCTTTTCCCCATCTCATACGGTAAGAAAAAATTATGTAAGCCTCTTGCAAGTAATTAGCCAAAAGTAGGGCATCCTTGACTTAGCTTAGCTCTCTCCCTTTCACCACCCTCCAAACTTCTTGGATCATAACAAAAAGCTGTTAATCAGATCTTCACAGATCCCCCTAATCATTCCAAGCCTCTTCAACCTCCAAGGACACAATTAGACCCATCTCCTAATCAGATATTTCAAGGCTAATCCAAACTAGCCCAAACTAGGCATCTTGATCTAGTCTTGGTGTAGTCTTCACCAAATACTCTTAAACCTATTAGATACACTCCAAAAACTCTTGGTGTGGTTGTTGGCGGTCCTTTGGAAAATTTTATTCCCACTATAGCTCCTGTTAGTCCTATTGAGGTTGTGGTTCATGAGGAAATTGGTATGGATGATGCTTTAGCAATGGAAGCACTGAGGATGCTGCTCTTGGTGAAGGGATACCGATGACTCTTTCTTGTGGTATTGATGAGGTTGTGGCTGAGGCTTCTGAGCCTAACAATTTCTTAGTCAATTTGGAAGCAAGCCCTATTGTCAATCCTGATTCCGATGTTGATGCCTGTGATGGTGTAGCTACAGTTTTTTATGAGATTGTCCCTCATGGGTCGGGGGACCGTGTGGTTGATCCAGAGTTGAGCCCTTCGGTGGGTGCTTTGGGTGTGAAACCATCGGGTTTAGCTGATGGATGTATGGATTCTCCTACGACTTTGTTGGAACCATCGAATAAGCTTTTGTTTGATGTCCCTATTTCACTAATTTCTAATGAGGTCTTGAAAGTTCAATTAGTAAATATTGAGCAAAATGATTGGCTTGAGGAGTATGTCTCTTCACCTCGCGGCGGTGTTGGGGAAGACTTCCTTGAGTATGAAGATGATGTTCATACTATGTATATCTTGAAGGACAGTTAGAGTGGTGAAAAAGCTTTTGCTTTGAGGGGTGGAAAATGTGGAAGAAGAAACTCTAGAAGGAAGATTTATTTTATTGCTGCATCTTTGGATGTTTAGTCTCATTTACAGGCTATGTTGCTGCTTTTGGCTCACTACCATGGCTTGTTGGCAACCATTGGTGGTGGATCTTCTTGTTCTTTTGGTGGCCTTATTTTGGGTGTTGTTTGTTGTTTGGCTTTTTGGTGGACTGTTGCTTCTTCCCTCCTCTAGATGGTCCATGCCTGGCGTTTGGGTGGTTGGGAGCTTGTGCCAATTATTGAGCCCGGATGGCTTGTTGTCCTCTTTATTTTTGAGTTCTACTCTCTCTACTACTGTCTTGTTATATTTCTTTTTGTTTTTTTGGTTTTGGTTGTAACCTTTCTTTTTTGATGGTATAAAATGTTCCTTCTTTAAAAAAAAAAAAAAAAAAAAAATCAAATCTCCTAATCTTCCCCTACAACTTCCAAATGGATATATGCTTAAAAGCCCCTACATGCCGCATCCCTATAGGTGAAATTTAAAGAGTACTCCTAGGGTTAGTTTAACTTGAGCTTTTGATCGATCCTCTTACCTCATACACCCTATATAAAATTCCTTCAATCATCTAGGGTTGTTCTTCACATCATTAGCCACCTACCATAATAATTGAAAGCCTTGGATTCACAACTCCATGGCTAGGCCAAATATGTCATTATTGATTTCTTATGGTTGTTTGGTTGATTGTAAAAATAAATCAATATAATTCATTTTTTTTGTGTTTGATTTGCTATAAACTAAACTCAATGTATGGCAAGAATAGATTGAGGAAAGAGGAGGGGTCACGGGCATGGGGTCGCCGGTGCGGTTATAGGTGGGGTTGTAAGCATTTGCCTGGGCCAGATCGTAGGCATAGGTCGTATGCATGTGCGGGTTTATCGATGGAGGCAAAGGTTGCACGCACTAGTCGCATGTATGATTTGAAGAGTGGGGTCACTAATAGGTCACAACGGGGTCACCTTAGCTGTATAAGTGATGCAAGAGAGATATAGGGATGTAATGTAGTCATTGTGGTTGGACAAACGATATTGGGACACACATTGCATTCTTACATTCCGTTTATACTCCTAATACACCAAAATAAACAAAATCTATATCCTTAGCAAATTGTCTTCAAATTTTGATTATAAATTTTTAGTACATGTGATAATTTATATATCCATAATCCCCATAGACTCAAGTTGGCATAGATGCTACTAACTTGAGTTTGTAAATAGTACTGAGCTGAGATGAAATTGTCGAAAGTTTTGCTGCCTTGTAGTTGTGTGTATGGCAAGAGGAGCATGATTGGTGCATGAAATGGAGAGTAGTGTGAATCAAATACAAGAATCGATAAGATGATCCATGTTCTAGAAAGCACAAATTAGATTCTTAAAAAGAACTATTGATAGAGAGTATTAACAGAAGTATTAACATAGAATGTCAACAAATAATATTAATAGAGTACATCAATAGATTAGGTTCTAGCTTTTATCAACACAACATAAATAATCAAAGAAGATTTGCTATGATAGTATCATGCAAGCAAATGGAGCCAATGAGCCATTAGATAGGATCACATTTTAAACAAATACGAGGATCTCACAGAGGGAAGAGCTAATAGAATGGATGGAGAAGTTGTAGTGCACGGATGGGTTGTAGTTAGAGAGAAGTGCAAGGTCAGGCTAGTAGAGAAAATAATCCGGGCAATGCGACATTGGTGGGAAGGTGTTTAAAGAATTCACTTAAAATGGGAAAGAAGAAAATCATTAAGTTTTATTGAATTGTTTTCGTTTATAAGCTTTTATTTGTTTATATATAGGTAAGTGAAGAGAACAATTAAAAAAAAAAACTCTAATATTAAAGAAAAATAACAATGATAAGTAGTGTAGATTTTTGCTATAAATCATTTTGATATGGTAACTATCACATATCAACATAAATTTTTAATAGGAGTAAATAGTTTTTATTTGATTTGATAATTAATAAAATATTGGCTTTTTGAATAGAAATTTTAAGACTCACTTTTACCAAGCTATATGTTTTGCTTCAAACCAAAGAAAGCTTTTTAGGTTTATAAACATAATCCAAATATCTAATGGTTGCTCAACATAATCTCTTCACTAAAACCTTTAAAAAATTTTACTTTTAACATCTATTTTGTAAAGTTTGAAACCTTTAAGACTTAGAAAAAAAAATCCAAAAATCTTCGAATTGTCTCCAATCTAGCTATGGGAGCATAGTGCTCATTAGAAATATACCTTTTTTTGTGGTTAAAATCTCGGGCCACAAGCAGTCCCTTATTTATAACGACAAGACCAACATCATCAAGTTTGTGTTTTTTAAACCCATTTTTATCGATTATAGCTTGAACTAAATCCCAAGCATAATTTCTGTTAAAATTGCCCTATTCTTAATGCTTGGTTAAACCCAAAATTCATCATCCAGTGCCTAAAAAATATCCTTAAGTTTACTTAAGGAAATGAAGGCATATTTATTGCAAAGATTTCTAAGGTAAGATTGAGTCCTAACATTATCATTTTGCAAATTGATAATTTGAAATAAGGGATGATTTTTATCATATCACAATCTTTCGGTCATATATGAAAGTTCCCGTCTTCTTGGATTTGTTTTACTGGTTGTTTTTTAAGTTTAAAGTCTGTTGACCTTTGTTGCAAAAAAAATCCAAAAATATTCGAATTGTCTCCAATCTAGCTATGGGAGCATAGTGCTCATTAGAAATATACCTTTTTTTGTTGTTAAAATCTCGGGCCACAAGCAGTCCCTTATTTATAACTACAAGACCAACATCATCAAGTTTGTGTTTTTTTTATTAAAAGCGG